AGAGAGAGAGAGAGAGAGAGAGAGAGAGAGAGAACGAGGGAGAGGAGACTGGGTTTTGAAACTGGCCGGATACAGTTCTCTGATAAGGAGTTTGGGAAGGCTCCAGTGCGAAGAGAGAGAGAGAGAGAGAGAGGAGGAGAGAGAGAGAGAGAGGAGAGAGAGAGAGAGAGAGAGAGAGAGAGAGAGAGAGAGAGAGAAGAGAGAGAGAGAGGAGAGAGTGGAGATCCTGGTGATGGGGAGGGAGGGAGGAAAGGTGGTGGGGAGGTGTGGGGCAGGGAAGGCGGGAAAGAATTAAGAGAGAATGCGGTAAGTGGTGAAAAAATAAGAAAAAAAAATATTTGTAACAAAGGGGGAGGAACCTCACAAGGAGGCGATGATGAATTAGATTCCAGAAAGAAATTAAGTGTAAGAAAACAGCCAACGATCATAGAGAGAAGAGAGAGACAAAAAAAAACTTTTAAAGTGCCCGGAAGAGAACCAAGAAAACAAAAAGAAGGCAGGGATAAAAGAAGAAATGAAATAGAAATAGATAAATAAATAGATAGAAAGATGAGTAAATAAGTAAATGAATAAAACACGAGGCCGGCATATGATTGCTACGTTCAATTTTTTTTTATTTATGCTATCTCTGGGGTCCTGTTGCGCCTGCTCTTATCACCGATTGAGGTCGATAAGGGCGGAGGGGGAGGAGAGGGGAGAGGGGAGGAGAAGTGTAGGGGGAGGAGGGGAGAAGTGGGGGGGGGGGAGAGGGTAGAAAGTGAGGGGAGGGGGGAGAGGGGAGGGAAGTGAGGGGGAGGGGGAGAGGGGGAGAAGTAAGGGGGAGGGGGGAGAGGGGAGAAGCATGCAGGTTTTTAGATACGGATAACGACTTGTGTCTTTGGAGCGCAGGCAACCTTGGAGATACAAGCTGATTGCGTCCTTGTGTGGTTTGTTGCGCCCCGGCATTGTAATGACAAGGGGGAGCCGTCCGTAACAAGGGGTTTGCTTGTTTGCGTTTGGGTGGTTGGGGTTGTTTGTGGGGGAGGGGGGTTGGGTTTGTTTGGGGGGGGGGGTAGGGGGGACGGTTTGGGGAGAGGTTGTTAGGTGTGGAGGGTGTGGTGTTTGGGGGGAGGGGTTTTGGGGTTGTGGGGGGGGAGGGGGTGGGGTTGTTTGTGGGGGAGGGTGGTGGGGTTGTTTGTGGGGAGGGGGGTGGGGTTTGGGGGAGGGGTTGGGGTTGTTGGGGGAGGGGGGTTGGTGTTTGTGGGGGAGGGGGTTTGTGGTTTGTTGTTGGGGGGAAGGGTTGGGGTTTGTAAGAGGAGGGTTGTTAGAGGTTTGTGAGGGTTTGTTTGTGGGGAGGAGTTGGGTGGTTTGTGGAAGGGGGTTGTGGTTGTTGTGGGGGAAGGGTTGTGGTTTGTGAAAAAGGTGGAGGGTGGTTGTGGGGGAGGGATTTTGGTTGTGGTTAGTTGTGATATGGGGGAAGGGGTTGTAGTTTGTAGGGGGAGGGGTTGTGGCTGTGTGTGCGTGCGAGCATGCACTTGTCACTCGGTATATTCATTATCACCATCATTCTTATCGTTATTATATATTTATTTTTTCATTATTGTTATTATGATTGTTTTTATTATTACTTTATTATTATTATTATTATTATTATTATTATTATTATTATTATTATTTGCTGCTCCCTCCTTCCCTGCGAGGAACAGAGCGAGGGCAAGGGTTGATGGGTTTGTCTGTCTACTTTCAAGTGACGAGTCATTGTTGTTGCCGTTGTTGTGCTATTGCATCGATATTGTTTTTATTGCTATGATTATTAACATTATTGTTATTATTATCGCTAATTATTGTTATTTTTGTTTTATTAATTTTTTATATTTTATTATTATTATTAGTATCATTTTTAAAATCCATTATTTTTTGTTTTTCGTCATTATTATTGTTATTGTTATTGTTCTTGCTGTTCACTTGCTCGGTTCATATTTATCTCATCTAAGATAAGATAGCGAAGAACGAATTGATAATTACCTGATAATGCAAATGAGAATAAAAAAGCATCAAACAGTTCGTATTAATATTTTTTTGTGTTTTTGGACAATTTCAGGAATATCCAAACCAATAACAGGTTGCACACATGACCAATAGTCGTAATAAGAGAAAGTTTCATGTTTGTTATTGACAGTCGCGTGTTGTTGATACCTATTGCCATGGTCAGTTTATCGCTGTGATAACACTCAGGGCAGCACATTCCCTCAGTGTTCCCAGGATGTGCTCGCTAGTGCTGTGCGTTTCGGAGCTGTAAAGTGTGTTAGAAAAGTGACGCTATTATTTTTGTCAACCTCTGCTGCTCCCTCCTTCCCGCTCTACCCCGCCCCCCCCCTACTCGAAGAAAGGGTTGAAGAGAGGGTTTGAAGGAGCCTGTTGGGAGACGGGCGAGAGTAAGCTCGTATTTTCTTGGGCGTCTTGGAGGCGACTTCTGGACGTGTGGGTGTGTTGGATTCGCGTCGACGACTGTGGAGTGAAGGTAAGGGGATTTTTTTTTGTCTTGTGGATTTGTTTGTTTTTTGTTTGTTTGTTTGTTTCTTGTGGCTGTTTTTGGGAGGGGTTTTTGTTTGGTGTTTGTGGTGGTGGGGCCTTTGTTGTTGCTTCTCCCTTTTCTTCTTCTTCTTCTTCTTCGTCTTTTGCAGTTGTGAAATTGTGATTAAGATTATAATCATAATGATGATGAGAATATTTATTACTGGGCGATGTTCCTGTGATTCAAACCGGCATACTTTTAAAATGAATGAAAAATGATGTTTGTCCATCATTGAAGTGGCAGCTAAGTTATGCATCAACCCTTTAATTCAAAATAAGAATTAGATATAAAAGTAAAAATTATCTGGGCCCTTTTGACAGATAATAATTTAGAATTGTAAAAAAAAACGAAAGCAACAAAATTAAAATGGAGGATTGAAGCAAATGACGAAAATAACCAAGTGAGAATCAACTATGTGATTCAAAATGAAATTTGATTTAGAAGATATCGCGCTGTGTGACACTATCAAGTGTGTGTGATATATGATCGTCCATTTTTTTTTTTTTTTTTTTTTGCCGGTCCCGATGAGGTCTTCTGGAGGTTCATTTAGCTCTCTGCTTCAGATGGTGATGATGGTGGTGGTGATGGTGGTGGTGGTGGTGGATGATGGTGTTGGTGATGGTGATGGTGATGATGGTGGTTGAGGTGATGGTGATGGTGTGGTATGGTGTTGAGGTGGTGGTGATGGTGATGGTGATGGTGATGATGGTGGTGGGTGATGGTGATGGTGATGATCATGATAATTTTTATGATAATGATGGTGGTGATGATGATCGTGATGATAATATAATGATGGTGATGGTGATAATGATAATGTGATAATGAAGTTAGCAATAGATGTGATAATAGTAATATTAACAGTAATAATATAGAACTGACGGCAATTGTAATAATGATCATGATGATAATGATAGTACATAGAATAAATAGAATGATAATAATGGTGAGTGACAATGATAATAATACTGATAATGATAATGATGATAGAAATGATAATAATGGCAATTAGTAATGATATAATGACAATATAATAATGAATAATGATAATAATAAAAATAACAGTATTAATGATATGATGATAATAATATAATAATAATAATAATAATAATAATAATAATAATAATAAAGGTGATTTTAAAGAAGAAACCTAGAAAGAGACGGTACAGAAAAGAGACCGGGCAGTGGGGCTGGGAGGGAGGGGGGGGGTAGGGGGAGAGAGGGAGCGTCATCAGGCAGAACATGTTCAGATGATAAGTCCCTGGAGCTAGAACCCGGATGCGGTGCTCTGTGTGTGTGTGTGTGTGTGTGTGTGTGTGTGTGTGTGTGTGTGTGTGAGCATATATGTACATATTTAAGTACACACTTGTATATATAAATATGAATAAATATTATGTATGCGTGTATATATATATATATATATATATATATATATATATATATATATATACACACACACACACAACACATACACAACACATACACAGACACAAATGCATATATAATGTATATTTATGTATATATATATTTATAATATATTTATTTATATAAAACATATATGTATGTATATGTGTATATATAAACATACATATAAAGAGACACATGTATACACACAACACACACACACACACACACACACACACACACACACACACACACACACACACACACACACATATATATATATATATATATTGTGTGTGTGTGTGTGTGTGTGTGTGTGTGTGTGTGTGTATACATACATACACACACACACATATATATGTATACATAATATATATAATTTGTGGTTGTGTTGTGTGTGTGTGGTGTATATATATATATATAGATTAATACATACATCAATATATACTAACTACATACACACACTAACAAACAACACACATATACAACACCACACACTCGATGCTGTCGATGTGTGTGTGTGTGTGTAGGTGTATCATGTTATATAATGTATATGTATATATATTTATTAACAATATAGTATATATATAATGTATGTATATTATGTATCATCCTCACACACACAGCACACACATCTGCTCACTGATACACACACACCACATACAACACAACACATATATATATGTATATATATCTATGGTATGTATATATGTATAAACTAACTAACACCATAAACACATACTACCAACTAACTACATACACACACACAACATACATATATTGTTTCATACAATAATATATATATCATATATTGTTACCATACAATATACAATCACTACACTTACATCTGTCTTAACTATCAACAACATATATATAATATTATTGTTTAATACAATATACTATGATATACATTACATTATATTGTGGTTGTGATAGTATCGCTAATATATAGTAAGAATTATATCATAGATTAGATATATAGTTACTTAGATTATACAGGATATTAATATTAATACATATTTGTTACATACAATAGAATATATTAAGAATATCAATTAATATAAATTACTTATCCTCATGTCTACTACATTACACTCAATCGTTATATCTAGATAATTCAATAATTCACATCAGTAATTTGTTTACAGCTATTATAACTATATAGGAACAGCTAATATAAATCGCAAACAATAAATAAAGTTACCAATCATGACATAATGATCACAACACAAATAATCTGATGTTCACATAACAATATATATTGCACGTATAATTCTAAGTACTGCCTTTAGTCGAATACCTATGAAGCTATTCCTGGTTATCAATTTAGTGATCAAAGCAAATATATTCGCTGTATCTAACTGTATTACCGAAAAGACCCCACTTATTCCAGGTAACCAGCTAATTGATATACACGTATTCGGTAATGATATATTTTGTACCTAGCCTATTATTAGCGGTCATGACTAGTAGTTACTGTAATCCACTGCGAGCTTCCGAGCACACACACACGCAGGAGTACGAAGTAGAAGAGAGCAAAGAGTGAAATATTTGTGAGTATAAGAGACAATAGAAATGATGTACGGGAAAGAAATGGTCGCTCGATGTAAGAGCATCTATTTAAGATGGTGTGAAAACATGCTAATGGACTAGAGAGGATGATGAAGAAGTGAGAAGGAGAGAGAATGAGATAGACAATGTGTTTTATAAATGGTATATGTTTTAGTAGAGTGAAGCACATGAAGACGAGATGAGCAGTGAGTAGTGAGAGAGAGAGAAGTAGATGCAGTAGATGAGTAATGAATGAAAGAGTAAGAGATTGAAGATAAGAGAGGAGAGGAGATGAGAGAGGAGAAGGAGGGGGGGGGGGAGACATAAGAGAAGAAGAGAGAGAGCAGAAGTACAAAGGGCAGAGAGTAAGAGAACAGAGGTCAACGATAAAGAGTAGAGAAGATCAGACAGAGACAGAGTAACAGTAGGAGATGATAGAGAGAGCAAGAGAAGAGAGAGAAGAACTGAGAGAGGAGAGTGTGTCGTTAAGAAGAGTAAAAGTAAGAGAGCAGTCGAGAGGGGAGTACAAAGGACGGTAGGTAGCGATTTAGTATATAGTTATCAACACACTTGTGCATATCAAAATTTACAGACTATAGAAAGACACACATACATATCTAATTTTCAGGATAATAAATTGACAAAATAAGGGTAAATATGACCTATTATAAATGTTTCTTATTCATAATGTTATATAATTTACAGTTTCACATAAACAACTTAGAGGCGTACAAAGGACTTTTAGATGGTGGAACGATTATTGCGAAGTCTTAATCAAGCGAGATTATGAGAATTCGAAAGGGCAAATGTCTCTATCCATAAATAACTTTATAGAGTAACTACTGAAATAGGAAGAATCTTATGAGCATACGATAATAAGTTAACGATAATGACAGTGAATTGGTAAAATAATCGATAACGATGATAATGATGATGAATAAAAGTGACAATGATAATCGAAAGAATAAAAGATTTTATTTATAACAACAAAAATATACCATAATATTTCTTTGCACATTAAGATAATTAATATTAATACAGATCAATTATGCGTTATAAGTTTGTATGAAGTATGATAATGAAACATAATTATGCAGATCGAATAAATGATAAAGATTGATAATATGATGAGATTAATGATAACTGATAAATAAAGAAAAGTGGAGTAGGATGGGGTATTATATGTATATTAGTTCATTATTATTGCATTAATATTTAGAATCATCATTATTATTATCTAATTATTATTATTATTATTATTATTATATTATTGTTATTATCATTATAATATCTATTATTTATATTATTAATTTATTATTATATTATTATTATTATTATTAATTATATTATTTAACTAGATTATATTATTATGTATGGATGAAAATAATATGGTAATAAATAATAAAATGATGATAAGATGATGAATTAGCAGTAATTGATAATATATCAATAAATAAATGATAGTAAACATAAAATAAATAATAATAAAATTACAAATAATGATAATGATTGATAGTAAGTTAATCATAATTATAATATAGAATAATCAATAATTGAAGAATGAAAAATAACAAGGATATAATATATAAAAAATAACTAATAATAAACAATAACATAGATGATAATAAAAAGTTAATGATATATGATAATAGGATGAGTGGTAATCGGTAAATTGATGTAATAAATAAATGATATAAGAAGAATATAACGTTAATGATAATAAATGTAATAGTAATAGATGATAATGATAAATGAATAAATAAAAGTAATAATAATGAGAAATGACAATAATGTATAATCAAGAATGATAAAATGATAATGTGGGAAATAAAATTATAATGGTGATATAGGATGATGATAAATAATAATGATGAAAATATATAACAATAATTAATTGAAGATAATTAAGATTAATTAATAATTGATGAGATGATAAGGTGATATAATGATAATGATATATAGTAGTTGTAAGAAGTAGTAATAGTAATAAATGA